TATGTAATGTTAGTGTTCAAATATTTATAGTAAGGTATTTTAATAATTTTATCTTGTTTGGTTGAAAATTAAAATTGCAAATTTACTTTCTTGCAGATTGACATACATAAACATGGACTGAATGTATATAAAAATATAGTCTTTTACCACAAACATTTTAAATAACATTTGGTAGTCATGTATAACTGTGTAGTTCTTGTCGGCGTCACCTCAATATTGTTATATCTCTCAGCTCTTGTACATGCAGGTAAATATAGTACATTTTTTGTAGCTTAAGTTTATTAGGTTTTAATTATTTGCGAACAAATGTTTGATTATGACACATTAGTTAAACTAATAATTTGGTTAATTTTCTGTTGATATAACAAAATTTAACAACGGTTATTTTTATATCTATTATCTCCTCTAAGAAGTAGTAAGACCATGCCATTGGTTGATTGGCTCAGTTCAGTCCTGGATGTCCTAATGGGAGGGGGCAAAGCACAACAAGAACGAAAGCAAGAACTGCTTGCTGAGAAGTTGTCTAGAGTTTAAAACACCGGATCACTTTAGCTATAATCTAAAACATTATATCATGAACATCTAGCCTTTATTGGCCCCTGCTGACCTGTTACCTCTTTCTGCTCAACATTTATTTCTTCGTTTGTCGTCACCTCTGGTGTTGGTGGTTTATTATTATCAACTTCAACATCAACAAATAGGGATCAAAACTAGTCTGCAATGTTGATTTCTTAATTCCCTTTTTATTCGTCTAACTGAAGTATTTGTTTCATTTCTAATTCGTTTCTTCTTCATCTTCTTCTTTAAGTTCCACTCCTATCGGAGATTGGAAATCATTCTGGCAATTATAATTTTATTGATTACTCGCCTGAATAGTTCAATTGAACTGCATCCAAACCATTCACGGAGATTGCGTAGCCACGAGATTTTACGTCTTCCTACGCTTCTTCTAGCTTTGATTTTACCCTGCATTATATTCCTTAGTAGTTCGAACTTTTCACCTCTCATGATGTGCCCCAAGTATTCCAATTTCCTGATTTTTATGGAATTTAAAACTTCGCATTGTTTTCCTAGTTTTTCGAGAACTTGATCGTTTGTTTTGCGATCCATCCATGATATTTTCAAAATACGTCAGTAACACCACATTTCGAATGCTTCTAGGTTTTTAATGTTGGATTTTTTAAGTGTCCAATCTAATTCGTTTATAGTAGTTATATGTCTGTTGTGTTTGTAATATTCTGTATTGTAAAAAGGCCTTCTTTCCACATTTTGTCTTCACTTTCTCTTTAAACCATGGATCTTTTTTATGTTAATTTTTGTTACTTTCCTTTTTCCAAGTGATTCTGTTGATAAGTTAATCATGTTAATTGAGATTTTCCCAGATTTTCTTGATGATATCGTTTTCTAATATTTCATTCCCAGCAATCTTCTCTGTTATTCTTGTATAAGTATTCCGTTGATTCCGTATTTAGTCCTTCGACTCTGATTTTTGTTTGTATTGGTAAAGCTCTCTTGGTTGTGAAGTATTTCATGACCATTCTTATTTTACATAATACTAAGCTATGGTGGCTACCGGTGGCTATAATTCTGTGGTGTTTGGGAGAAACATGATAACTCCAAAATGCATGTTTTTCAGGAGAGCAATTTTAACGTTCGAGATGGTTTCTTAAATCGAACGCAACAAAATAAAAAACCAAATATATTTCATTAAATACTTTACTAAGTGCTATAACAGATGTAACAAGCAAAATATGTTTTAACATTTCTATTTTTGATATAATGGCACATATCATATTTGTATCAAAAATATAGAGATTTAAAAAGTATTTTAATGGAGATAACGGTCAAAGAAGAGAGAACTTAAACTATTATTGGTCAATTTCTTTGTATTGGAAAACACTGCTGTGGAAATATATGGCTTTACTTGTACCAAATTAAAACTTACGCTTCGAAATTTTCATCACTGTCGCTTGTATATTGTGTAGTACTGGTTTGAGCGTGTTTAAGCGAATGGTAAAATTCATGATAGATTAGATCTATAAAGGGTAGTATGTCGAGAATATCTTTATATTTCAAATAGTCTATGGGTAGAGGATCATGATAAGCTGGAAGTATCTGAATATTAGACATGGAAGTTAACCTGCCTCTTCTTAGCATGGACATTGAACGAAATGGTTCATTTGGATCTAATGTGTATTTGAAGCCTATATCACTATCCTTTTTGTAATGTAACCAAAATATGCAGTTCCAAACAAAAGAATTTTTATCTTTATCTTTATTTATTTATATAACATTTCTTTTTATAAAATGCGTTGTTAGAAGTTTGGAAAATCCGAAAAAGTCAGTTTGTTTCATAAATTTTACGTCAAAACGAGGGCTCGTCATTTTAATTACCGATGCCCAGTCCTGTGGAACTGAAATTGTGGCGCTTCTTTTTTTCACAAATCTCTCTATGGTAGCAAGGTCTGTATCACATTCTAAATGAGTATGACCAGGAACTAGGAACTTATGATCAATTTCTTCTGGAGTTTCCTTTTCTTCAAGTGCTTTTAAAAACGATTTAATATAATCGGTAATATATTATTTCGGTTTTGACCTGGGCACGTAACAGAATAGAGGACTAGTTTTTCTACCTCTTCTGGCAAGTCTTTAATAAACTGAAATAAGCAAGATGCGATCTCATCAGCTCCTCGTTGAGCTACACCTTCGTGCCACACATAACAATATGTCCGTTTTGTGGTGATATTGCGGATCGTTAAATTGAAAGTCCATACCTTTCTTTTATAGATGTCAAATTAGGTGTAGCCAAACACTTCTGCAAATCAAATGCAACTACTACAAGCTTGCCTAAGCTCCGCATACTTTCTTCTTTGTCGTCTTGTTTTGTTGTATTATGAAAGGAAGCCTTATCCTGGTGTTGTTGGCGTTCATTTTCTAATCTTTGTTTTTCTTCTTCGGAGGCACAGCTTTTTATTTTCAGAAATAATGAATCACAGGTTTTGCAAGTGTCATTAGATGGCTTCTTAAACTTAAATTAAGATTTTTAAATAAGTTTCGAAAAACACTTAAACTCAAGGGGGCGTCAGTTGCATTAGATTTTGTGTCATTGCGTTTTTCTTTATATAGCCTGTATAAGATTTGTAAATTTAATTCTTGCCCTAAATACTGCTTTGAAGTGTGACTTCTACTGTAGTGGCTTTCATATTTTGGAAATATATTAATAAAATTTCGAGCAAATGAGATATCTGCTTCTGAGCGCTTGTTACCTAACGGCTGCATACCTCTTAAATCGGACTTGAGTACGATAGAAGTAGGAGATGCTTTCTTTTTTTTTAACAACGTCATCTAAGAAATCTCTGGTTTCGCCAAATATTTTCAAAAAGCAACATTTACAGATATTACCATCCATATTCTCCAACTTATAAAGAACTGTAAATTGCCTATTTTTGACTGAGTTACCACGGCGTGTCCTTTCTTTAGGTTTTACTGTTATTAAACTAGCCAAATAACGTTTCTGTGTATCCCTAGTTGTCAAGTTTCTGTAGTCTCTAAAAATTTGCTTTAGATCAACAGAGGCAGTCTTTTCATGACATTTCGCTCGACAGTTTGTGGACACAGGTATCGAAATTTTAGCTGAAATGTATTCCTCACCCTTTCTTTTTTTATCAGAACGACTTTTTCTTAACTTCCGTTGCATTGGACCCTGGCCCTTTTTTCTTTTTTTTTTGCAGTTATTTGCGCCAAAGGACAGACATCATCTAACTCGTTTTGAGTGTCTTCGGAATCCGCGTTTGCATGTTCAGGTTCAGAATCTGATGGTTCCCACAAATCGCTAGATCAAGAACTAAAATCATCATCAGGAGTTACTTCAGAGGCTAATACATTCAGCAGATGAGTATTTTCTTCAAGATTTACTGGTGAAAATAGTGCTGGTTTTAAAACGTGCAAATTATTTTCTTTACTTCCAGAGGGGCCTGGATATGAAGCAGGAGGGGCCTGCGTAATTCGTCTTTGAAAGATTTAGACAAACTGACTTACTGACTAAGTGTAACTTAACAGCCATAGATAAACCTTAACACTAACACAATGTGATCGACACGTTCGTGAATACGACCAAATGCTCATGAATAATTATGATAAATACAAAACAACGAAAAGAAAAGTTTGATATATACATGTTATTTACCACTTACATAAAAAAATTGACAGAAAATGCTACTTAAATATAATATTTCTTTGAATCAAAGATGTTAAATGGGACATAGCATAAAATTACCAAAATAATTTGCATATTATTTGATCTAGACATGATAAGTACCAATTATCAGATATGAACCAAAACGTTATTGTCTAGTTTTATTTTCGGGTACATGATATAATATTTTAACAGGAGTATACCAAACAAAATTTGAATAATAGGGACTTATCGATATTATACCAAGCTGTGGTACGTTTTCTAGACGTGATGGACATACCATAGTCAGATCAAACGAAAGTAAATCAAAAACAAAATGCAGTGATGCACTTAACAAAATTTTCGCTATTTTGGAGTTATCATGTTTCTCCCAAACACCACAGAATTAGTCAATGAGAAAAACCTGGACATAATAATAGAACTGTTTAACGCTATCTATACTACGGGAATCATCCCTAGAGAAATGTTGACATCAGCATTTGTGTGTTTGCAAAAGACAGTAAATGTCAAAGAGTGCAGTGTCAAAGAGTCACATACCTTGAAAATTATGTTGAAAATTATCCACGATCGACATATCTTAAATTACCAGCCAATATGTCATTACATTTATGGCATTTTAAATTAATCAGAAGAAGGGGTCAAGAATAAAGAAAAATATCATCAAAAATATTATTTCGTATTATTCAGTAACCCCATAATATTTTAAGCTTTTTTATCTTTTTATGTACACCTTTGCATGCTTCATGTTGTGTACTAAAGTTATAGAGTCTTATATTTCAAACCCCTAACAAATCTATTATTTTAGATTGCCAGATAGACCCTTTTGACGGTGCTGCGCCATTAGTTCTCACAGCAAGAAATTCATCAATATTATACCCAGAATCCGGAGAAACAACATTAAAGTTCCGCAACGGAGAGACTGTTAACTTTGCTTGCCCTGGAGACAAAATTTTACTTAATGGATTAATGTACCAAACAAAAGTGGAAGCCAGGTGTTTGTCCAACTCGCAGTTTGAAGTTTTTGGAAAGCGATATTTTTGGCGCGATATAGCGTGCAGTGTCAATCCAAGAGCTACAATAAAGTACACAAATTCTTACTGCGCTAGAGATGCAACAATGGTGGAAATAGGTTTTGATTTAGGAAACAACCAGTTTGTATCTATTATGGATATTTGCTTTAACACATTATCCCAAATAGCACTTTATTCTCGTTATGACATAACAGCATCCATACATTCAAACGATGAGACCTTTAGCAGACCAACATTTTATGAAGATCGAGACATGTATAATTTAAAAGGTCGTATTGATACATACTATAAAAAAAATCGACAAAGAACTACTATCAACAATTTACTAGGATTACCACCCACATCATCAAAGTACATAAGTAATGGAGATTTCTTTTTATCCAGAGGACATCTAGCTGCCAAATCTGATTTTCTTTATGGTTTCCAACAGAATGCTACTTTTAGGTGAGTATGTTATAGCAAATATATTTATTTTATTTAGGATTTAATAATAAAGAAGAATTTTTATTAAAAGAGGACGTTTCAGCTACTGCATTATAACTTCAAACCACATCTATTATGTCCTGCTCCCATCCAAATTTTATGCATTTTAAGTCATTGATTTGTCGTGTTGGTAATTGCCCGACACATCTTTACATCTTCATTCTCTTATGAGAGATACTACGTCTTTACCACCAAATATTTGTATCTATATCTGTGGTATACCTCGTAGTTGTATCTCCTCCTCCAAACACCATTTTCACAGATGCCACCAAATATTCCAAATATTCCTCTCAGGATCCTTCGTTCAAATATGGTGTCACATATTCTCGTTTCTAAATTTACCTGGCAGATACTTTTCCAGCATACATAGATTGTTTTATTTTCTGCTATGTTATTCTTAATAGCTTAAATTTTTGTCGGAGTTTTAATCCTGCATTACCTCCAGATCTCCAGTTGTCCTTAATTCTGGTAATAAACTTCGAAAGGTTTTTTAAAGTCATTTTAATATGGTCGACTATCTTTCTCAAAATTTATCCACTTTCTAAAAATAGATTTTTTTTTAAATTCACGATGGAAATGGAAAAAATAATGGAACAGTTCCTAAAGTGGAACGTTCAAAAGTTGCTTTTGGTATTTGATTAAAGTAAATTGGATATTCAGTTTTTAAGATTTATTGTAATTATATTATTGTTTAGTTTACCGACGTGTTAAAATTTTACATCATTGCTACGCACTTCTAGAATATTGCACGGTAAAATGAGATTTGTTGGCGCATCTCTACAGCAAAGAAAACTATGCCTAGAGGATACTGTAAAGATTATGTCTCAGGATAGGAGGAAAAAAGTAAGTAATTGTATCAATAATACAACGAAAGCCAATACCAAGAAATTGCGGACGAACTACTACACAGTTTAGATGCAGCCAGACGACAAAAATGAATGGAAACTGTGGAAAAAATTGTACTTTAGTGAATCAAGCAGAAAAGTGTGGTCTATACTTAAAAAACTTGGTGGTAGCACACTTCCAACTAGAGACGAAGTACCAATAGCTCCCAACAGAGTGACTTCCCACGTTGTAGCAACCCCAAGAGCACTTAGAGATCGTAAACACACCACAAAAGTAAAACAATAACTAAAAATACTTAAGTCTACATGTCCGCATATATCTGAATACTCTGACGAGTTTACGCCTGAAGAAATTATTTCAGGTCTGAAAAGGCACCGGGTTCCGATAAAATCCATCCAGAATGTTTACTCCACTGTGGCAAATATGCTAGGAAGTGGCTGGCTGATTTATATACAGATATGTTAAAATCAGGAGAAATCTCCCATTCACTAAAAAAGGCCATTCGTTATAGCCATATTCTTCTTCTTCTTCCTCTTTATAAGCAATTCTGCTTGTTCATTGGCGGAATAATACTTCTTCTGAAGAAGAAGGAAAGAAGAAGAAGAAGAATAGCCATATTAAAACCAGAAAAGGCAAATGAAACTACTGCCACCAAAACTACTGACCGATTGCACTGCTGAGCTGTGTCTATTGGAAACTGTTGGAACGCTTAACCTACAACAGAATTAGTAGAAAAATATTTGAATTGATACTTATTGAGCAAGCAGGGTTCAGACCTAACAGCAACTGCACAGCAGATCGTATCCCTAATAACGCATATTGAAGCAGGTTCGCAAACAAAACCAAAGGCATCCATTGCTTTCATTACCTATTAGCTGCATACGATACTATCTAGAGACAAGGACTAATCTGCAAACAAATCAGTTCCATCCCGTGTCAAAAGGTAACTAAACCCATTGATAGCATGCTTGCTGCTGACTGACAGACCTTGTTAAGTCACAATGGGCAACTTTAAAAAAGTCCAAATAAAGCTCAGTAATGAACTGCCTTAGGGATCTATTTTGACACCCTTACTGTTTAATGTATACATCGCGGACCTACCTGGGACAACTTCGCAGAAATTTGGCTACGTTGACCACTGAACCATTGTAGAAAAAACATAATAACATGGATATTACAGAAACAATACTAACGACTGACCTTACCGTTATGGGAGAATACTTTCGCAAATCGAGGCTACGGTCCAATGCAACAAAAACCAATGTATGCTGTTTCCATCTGAATAATGCATAAGCCAACAAAAAACTTCCGTTCACTTTGTTCACTTTTGAAACAGACTGCTTCCTCATAACTGAAGACCAAAATATTTAAGAGTGACTCTGGACAGAACATTCAGTTTTAAAAAACACCTACAAAAAACGACAGCAAAACTGAAAACGCGAAATAATATAGTCCAAAAGCTTATGGCACCACATGGGTGTCCCTCAATCTCCGTACTTAGATCATCCGCCCTTGGACTTGTATGCTCGGCGGCTGAATATGTTTCTCCGATATGGCTCAATAGCAAACACGTAGATTATTGACACCCAATTAAACTAGACAATGTGAATACTCTCAGGTACAATTAAACCCACACCGAACTATTGGCTTCTTATTCTGAGTCCCATTTCACCGCCGAAACTACGAAGAAGTCATTCTCTTCTCAGAAAATATCGGAAAATCGAGGCTAACCGTCAACTATCCATCCACCATGATAAGCTTGATATCGAAATAAACAGACTGTGCTCCAGATATCCTTTATTGTTAAGAGCCAACTTCTTGCATTCGAAACAATTCAACGTCACCAATGCTTGAAGAAGACAATGGGAGAGCGATTCACCACAGGAAGCACACCAAATGTCCTGTATCGATCAGAAACTGCCAGGCTTTGAACTGACCCGCAATACATGGACAACGCTAAACAGAATAAGAACAAGCAGCGGTAGGTGTGCTGACAGCTTATATGGATGGGGAAAAGCCCGTACTCCTGAGTGTGACTGTGGTGCGCAACGACAGACCCTTCACATTTTTAGATGAGTTCCTGAATGCGACCGAAAATGTTTCACATTATATTAATAACACATTAAATGTTTGTTTGTAATACTACATGTAACGTTTCATATTAATTTTTAATTATACGTTCTTATTATATGCCATACGATAAATAAAAGTAAATATTTCAAATAGTATTTTTTTTATTTTTATATGTTTTAGGTATATAAATGCAGCACCACAATGGCAAAGTTTCAATGGTGGAAACTGGAACAGAGTTGAAAGGAGTTCCAGAAACTATGCAGATAAAAGAAAAGCCAACTTACAAGTCTGGACTGGCACTTACGGCATAGCCACATTGCCACATGAATCCACCCAAAAACCAACAGAATTATATTTGTATGTTAATCAAAGGACAAGAGCATTACCTGTTCCAGCACTTTACTGGAAAATAGTTTATAACCCGTCCAACAAAAGATGTGTGGTACTTATTGGATTAAACAATCCATTTGAAGAGAATGTTTCAAAATATATAATTTGTAGAGATATATCTAATAGTTTAAACTGGTTAAGCTGGCAAAAAAGTGATACGAGGAAGGGGTACTCTTATGCTTGTACATGTAATGATTTTAAAAGTAGAGTTGACTATGCACCTTCTCTAAAGGTTTCTGGAATATTAAATTGATAGGTGTAATAATAGGACGGGTTAATCCTATTAAAATATTGGGAGAAACGATAGGGAAGGCCGTGTAATTTGGACCAGTGTGTAAACATTTAGTGACATTCGTTATGAACCATCCCTAACCAAGATGAATTTAAGATACAACCTCGTTAATTGCCTTGAGTTATCACAGATTGGGGTTCATTTATATGGTGACCCAATTCTTTACATCTCCAGTATGAGAGTTTCGTTAACTTTAGGCTATAGAATGGTCAAATTTAGTACAGTTAATAGTGGTTTGACTTTATTGTAACGTATCCTAACAAAGTTTCTAGAAGATTTTCGACTACGTCGTAGTCTAGTGCATGGATTAATAAGTCTCCTAAATTTGTATTTCTAGATATTTTTAGTGACTTCTTAATTTTGGTATCCCATAGTCACTGGGACACAAAACTCTGGACAGAAATTTGTTACAGAATATCATCTGGTGCTGTTAGATCTGACTTGGCTTACAATATTGGCTTTGAGAGAGATGTTTACTTAATTTTTGTTGCTTTCACCTTAGTTGCGCTTGGAAAACCTTCTGCAAATGTTTATTATATCTCATTTAAAGCCTTAGCATATAACCTTCGACAAATTCGTTAGTTGCACGTCAAAGATGGTTTTTATGATATTAAGGAAACAAGTAATGTTACTTTTTCTTCATCAGATCGTAAGTTGACTTTTGAAAGCTGTCAAAAACTACATTTTAATTGGATGGAATTAGGAATCAATTAAGAAATATTTGTCTAGTTCTTCATTTAAGTTTATAAATTCTTGGATTTCTATGCGGAACTGAAAAGTAATATCTTGTATCTCTGTGTGCACATATATGGTATGTCTCACTCATAGTATTTTGCACCTCTTGCATCTCTGTGAACATTTTGTGCAGTGTTGTTATTAATTGTATCTTGTATAACTATAAATAGGTCAGCCTTTTCACCCTTGCACTTTGCACTTATCCGTTGAAGAATAAATGCTTCATTCCGTTCTAGCTTCTCCAGTTTTTTTACCTTTTTCAGCAGTTTTTCCTACACTGTATTTGACTTCTCTTCTATTTCATTCTAATTTTCTTAAAATTTTCCTGAATTTTATCATTACATTCCAGACAAATGTAAATCCTTTAATCGTACAGACTATAACTAAAAGTGACTACACATATGATATTATATCCTTAGACAAAGGTTATTACAAACCTTGTTTGGATGTATAAACTTTTAATGGAATAAATGTTATCATTTTCTTGAAATTGATGTTAGTATTTGACTTTTATTGTATTAAAATTTAAACACAAATATTGGTGACTTTTTTTATTTAATATTATATACACTTAGTACTCATCATTAAAAGGATAGTGTGGATGTCCAATGGCCCTGAAAAAAAAAGTTCGCATAAAAAATATATCGGCAATAGTTTTGGTAAAAAAGTAAAATATTAGGTATTGGTTTAATATTTTGACTAAAACTAGTATCACATGTACCATTATTTAACTTATACGAATTAAACACACTGGCGTCAAGCGCATGTAGTACATGTAAGCATTGAGATATGCAGAATATATGTTAGGATAAGTAATACAAAAGAAAATGTTTTTCCAAAAGACAAGGAATCAAAAGATGTAAAGAATACTGTAAGATAAACTTCATGAGTCATCTAAAATGGTTTCTAGAAATAATCCATAAGAGAATTTACAAGCTGTGTGAAAATCAAATTTCTTCAAACCAATTTGCGTTTATAATATTACTGGTACTCGAGAGATTTTGTTCTCAGTACAGGTCTTATTCCAGTGATGCAGAGACGTCAATTGCGAAGTATACGGATGTTTTGTTGATTAGGAGAAAGCGTTTGATTACGTACATCACCACAATATGACGCAAATACTAAGAGGCAGTAATTAACTACCAAGATTAAAATTAATTAGAAACCTTTACTAGAATCAGATAACAAATCTTAGAATTTAGGATAAATACACCAATCTTCACTCTGAAGGGATATTTAGCGAAGCTTAACACGAAACTAAAAAAGATAACACCACAGTATTCTTTGCAGACGTCCTAGAAAATTCAGCAGTCCTTATAATCAAAATCACGTATAACAATCCACAATATGGACTCAATATAAACGAAAAGAAGATTAAGTCCATTGTAATTAGCAGGAACACGATAACAGAAGGTCAACTCTACGTCAATCATACCCCAATAGAGAGAGTGAGGCACTACAACTACCTCGGCGCCATAATATATATAAAACATGGACCGATAATCAGAAGACAAGAGCAAGCATCGAAAAAATCTAGATTAACCTTCAACCGAATGGGGGCCTTCTGCTCTGTCTATTTTTATGTTGTTGAATCGTGGACCTTGAATGAAGATCCGTGGAGAAGGTTTGAAGGAGATGAGATAAGGCTATATCTAAGAATACTTGAGATTCCGTGGACTAACGAAGTCACGAATGAGGAGGTCCTGAGAGAAATGAAAAAAAAAACCGAGAGGTACTGACCATTATCAAATCTCGAAAGTTACAATACTTCGGACACATTATGCAAAATGATCCCAGATATACTCTTCTATAAACCATTTCTGCATTGAAAAATATTTAAAAAGCGAGGTCTAGGAAAAACAAAAGCATTCTGGTAAAAGACTTAGAACCTGATTCAACACAACTCTGCGATTTACAGATTAAGAAAAAAGTATAGCATCATCGACATTTTATCTGCTCTTACAGGAATATTGTATTATTCTTTATACGATATATCGTCTACTCAAAGATACCATTTCACTTACAATATTAGTTTGTTTAGCAACTAAAAATCAATTGTGAATTTATGTACCCTAAAAACTTAGTTAAAAAATTACGAAGTACTCTATTAAATTTAAAACTATTATTAAAAATTTTACTTAAAACATCAACAATACTTACTCGACATACCAGCATACCCTTCCGTTACAATCAAAGGTATCCATTACAGCTACATCAGCTGCTGAGAGCTCGAAGTCAAATATATTTATGTTCTCTTGTATTCTATTCTTGTTAACTGATTTTGGAATTGGAATTACTCCAGATTGCAAAAGATATCTATAAAATAAAAAGCGATATTAGTTGTATTGTTCTACTTATTAAGGTTGTGAAAAATTTAAATATCACAAAAATTTCTAAGGACACAAAGTTTTTTTATATATACTTTGTTTGGAAAAGTGTCAAGACTGATTTAAATATTTTATTTTTATTACTTATAATATGACGTTATCCAGTTTTAAATCTTTTTAAATCATAATTATAAGCTAATTATAATATGGCTTTAGTTTATCTTTTAAATTCTCGAACTCAAATTGGCTGATTAATTATTGTCAAGTTCTGAGAATTCACTTGTCTGAAAAACAACATTTTGGGAAACATTTATCAACCCAAACACAGTCCTTAAGGAAACGTACCCGTCCTTTGTGTAGAAAGTTTAAATTGTCATTTTAAGCTTAATTTACTGCTATTCCCGGAGGTCCTAAGAACAGAAGAACCACTAGTGGATTCGCGTACATATTTATCTTTTTTTCTATTCTCGGGCACTCTGCAACAAGCTCTCGTCGGGAACGAAAGCAAGCAAGACAGTATTACGGTGTTCATCCCATTTTACCCTTAGATCTTAGACTCCGAGCGGGGCTCAACCAGAGACAAAAGGTAAGTGAATCTCATATAGAGTTGACAATAAGTTATTAAATCTGTCAATTGTTATTTGAATTACAACATTTTATTTTACATGTATTTGCTACAAATATTAACTATTTTCGCTACTTTTATTTACAGTCAAAGTATCTCATTTTTTCTTTATTATTATTTATCTAATATGATTTAACCAGTTGACCTCTTAAGTTTTATACAAAACATACTTTTACATTAATTTTGATTGGATTTTAAGAAGTGCCATAACGTCATAATGCCCGATTAGCCAGTAATTGGTTTCTCGAGAATCAAATAATCAAACAAAAGTTAGGAAATGCACTAATTTATTGGACATATTTTAACAGACATAAAAATCTAACAACAAATGTGTTTATATAATTTATATTTGTATTTTATAATACAAATAATTTATATTTTCTCCAACATCATTATTATTATTATTATTTAATTTATTTAACGTGCTTGTGACAGCTTCGGCCATTAGCACGAGGCACCGTGCATACAATTTTATATAAGGTACAATTACAATTACATATTATAATATACTATAGTTATATATTATTTAGTAAGTTTTCTAGCTTCAGGAACTGGATAGCTGTGATGACTTGGCTCTGGTTCGATAATATATCTGTGATGTCGTCCTTCATGCCCAGTTCTTGGCGTCGTTTATTGTAATGAGGGCAGTCCACAAGGATGTGCAGAACGCTTAGTGGAGATTGGCAATAGTGACATATTGGCTTAGGTGTAGAATTCATTAGGTGACCATGTGTAAATCTGGTGTGACCGATACGCAATCTTCTAGCAACAACCATCTCATTTCTAGTTATATCAGGGATAACGAACTGCTCAATCGTCTGATCTATTTGGTGTAAAAATGTAGTGGATTGATTCCGATGATTCTACCAGTACGTAGTGTACAATTGGATACAGCAGCTTTTTTGGCAAATCAATCGGCGTTGTCGTTACCCGTAATCCCGATGTGGGAGGGAATCCATATAATAGTGATATAGATGTCGTGGATGATAAGATTTTGGTAAGTGTCATGGATTTTTTTCTACAAGAGGGTGATTAGTAAATAGATTATTGATGGACTGGATAGAGGCAAGGGAGTCTGTACAGATGGCAGTATGTTGATTGGGTGCTGTGCAGACTTTAAAGGCTTGGTAAGGCAATATTTAAATCTTAACCCAGCCTTGGATAGCTTAAAATTAAATTATCAACTTTGTTTTGAGACAATAAGATCAATTCTTTTGTAAGATATTCTTAATCTTAAAGACTATTTCTAGTACGAACAATGCAGAGCAAAAGCAATTCATCTCTGAAATATCTCTTACACAATTACAACAGGTTCTACGATACAATCAATATATTGATATTGATTCCAAATGCCTTCCACAAAAAGGGGATGAAAAATTATTTCAGTCCAAATCATAACTTGTAGGCCACTATATGAACGAAAATTCAGTACATGCCTGAATCTCTTCTGTCGATCAGGCCCTTTCAAAACTCTCACTTTTCTTAACTCAGGATAGATCCAAAACATAGCTTTATCTATGAATAATACAGAACTTTGTTCTTGTAAGCCCAATGCACATTTTACTGTGCCCACTTTCAGGTGAGTCAATTTTCACGACGTCTGGCTGGCAGGCCAGCTTCATGTAATCTAGTCCTCAAAGTTTGGTCACATACAATAATGTTGTGGGTATTTTCTAATGTCCTACAGAGCTCACGTAGAGTTATTTACATTTTAACTTTATCAAATTGTTCAAGGCACGTTCGGAGACACGTCAAATCAGCTTGTGAGAGACCAGCCTCAATCAGATTCACACTACTTACCATTTGGACATATGTTAGATGCTGACGCTCCATCACCTAACGTTTAATAATCTTGGTTTATAAGAATTTTAAAATAAGTAAATCCAAACTATCTTTAAAATTTGAAGCAATTTTTCTTTTACAATTTAAAGCAATTAATTGTACGAATTTAAGAACTTGTCAATTTTGTCTTTAGAAAACAATTGACACATTAATTTTTATTGGCATACCTTGATTTGCAGAGAAACAATTTTTAAATTGAATGATGTATGTTAACAAAAAAGTGTTTGTGTTGAAAATAGTTAAATAATAGTAGTATTTATTTGGACGTTTTTGGTGTGTGCTTGACTATGTTGATCTATAATTTCCTTATACAACATCAGCAAAATACTTGAGCATCACCCTAAATGCGAGACTGCGCTGGAAATTAATGTCAAAAAGCAAAGAGGGAGCTTAATATTAGATATACGAAATCGTATTGGCTAATTGGAAAAAATTTAACATTATCCATTATATCCATCCATAATAAATTATCCATTTACAAGCATGTACTAAAGCCAGTATGGGTTTATAGGTGCCAACTCTGGGGCTGGGGCTCTACCAAAGCTAATAATCTACATATTATCTAGAGATTTCAAAACAAAGTACTAAGAAACATTGTTGATGCTTCTTGGTATATCCGCAATAGCAACCTCCTCCAGGATCCGGGTATGAAAACTGTGACCAAAGTAATTAGAAAAACCGCAGCAAGTCACCAGCAGAGGCTGCATGATCATGTGAATGTCAAGGTAATCCAGTTTCTTGACAACACTGAACTAAGTAGAATACTTATTAGGCATTAGGACAAATCCATTTGAGTTAGTTTAAATGTGTAACAGTTTAGTGTATAAAGCAGAATATAGTGCTGTGATGTTATTGCATGTTAGTTATAGTGCATTAGTTATAGATAAAATAGAGTAAGCCAAAGGTAAGCCCTTAGATTTAAGTATTTGCTGTTTATTAAGTTAGATCAGAAAATAACTGATAATTGGTAATTTGTTACCAGAGAGCAGTATACAAACACCACACAGGTGATATACAAAAATAATTCTATGTTCTTAACACATATTTCGAATTAAATATAAAGAGTATGTTTACCTTAGAATTACTTGTGCACTAGATTTCTTGTATTTCTCTGCAATCTTCTTAATTTTAGGATCTTCAGTGAGAATTGGATCACCAGGTTTAGCCCACGGTCTGTCTGGAGAACCTAAGGGACTGTAGGCAGTTACGGAAATATCTTTGGATTTGCAGAAGGCGATAAGTTTTTTCTGGTTGAGGTATGGGTGACACTCGATCTATAAATATAAAGCTAACATATATATCCTTGTCAAGTAGAAAATAAGAAATAAAGAATTATTGTGTAATTGGTTATACGTAAATTGTAACTAGAGATATTTGGATTATGGTGCTGATAATAGGAATTTACCATAACTGTCTCTTATTAAGAAAAGAAAAATTGTGCGCAAAATTGTGCAAAAATTAAACGTCAATAAACTTACTCTATCTTTTAATTGTGGCTTATTCCCATTTAAATAGTAATTACTTTAAAATTCCACAAGAAAATAGCTTCAGAACAATATTAATAAAAGGTATTAATAAAAACACTTGGAAAAGCGAAAAAAAACTATACAATAGATCACTGGAGATAAGTGTCCGAGAAATAGAAAGAAAACAAATCAGTATAGCAAGAATCAAGATAAAAATTAACAAGTTATGAAGAGGATAACCTTTCAAAAAATAGAGAAGAGGTTAGTTCACACGAGCCAATAATTAGTAGAAGATAATCTATATTTATCACTGTATTGTAATAAACTAAAATACTTAAAAAACTACTTAAATTAAATAAAACAACACTATTAGGTTTTTTGTACTAACCTGATTATTGACTGGTTTTATGGTGGCGTTTGCAAGAATTCTTTCTAGTTGCCTTTTATTAAAATTGGAGACACCTATGGATTTGGCTAAACCTTTTTTGGCAAGTTTTTCTACTTCTTTCCATGTGTCTAAATAATCTACGTCGCTGAAGATACCAAGAGTTTCGTGGTCTGGACGCTTAGGCAACAAAGCACCTCCTTCCTAGAGTACAGTTTCAAAAATGTATTATTTTAAAAACAGAAGTAGCAAATTCAATACATCTAATACACTAGTTTGATATATAGTAGATGTAGGAAAAAGAAGGGCAAGATGACGATGATAAGCTTAAAAAATGTAGGATGAGATGGCTAAATGTGGAGGGTAAGATGACGAGATATGCCTATCCTAAGTAATAAATGCAGTTATATTAGAAAGTAAACAAATTAAAGTAAAATTCATTTATTATGCAACTAATGCAATACTTGTAATCGGTTCTACATTTTTGCAAGCACCAATCATAAGTCCATTGCTTTACCTTTGCTTCTTGACTATTAACTCCAGTGCATTCAGCTTGAGCCTATTCTCTACACCTGCTGCATCAATATCATAGATCATATTTTCTTCTTTTGCTGCAGATTATGCAATCTCTTTCTTTCTCTTAATTGTTATTAGTGATAGCATATTACATATATACTGACGAGTTAGAAGAGTCGTTATATTTTATTTTTCTTTTATCTTTATCCAGAGGGAATTTTCTATTTTGCTCTTTTATATTCCTTTTCCTTTCTTTTTTTTTGGAGAGTCTGGAGGTCATGTTTCCTTTAAAGATATCGGTGACATTCCTTAAATATATGGCATTTCCTCTTCAACCTTCAAACATTTTCAACATTTTCCAAAGCAGAAGTAGTTGGAACTTCCGTTGAAATTGGTTTATTTTTATTTGTTTTTAAAGATTCCCCAAAATCAAGTATATTAAATATCTGGCTATCAACAGGATATATGCCAGTGGCTCTAAAATCACTAAAAGCATTTAAAACAGTTGCTGCTTTTAAGTACGCTTTTTCAAATATTAATTACTATTTATAACTGGGAATAAGCCACAATTAAAGATAAAAATACGTTTATTGACGTTTCAATTTCCAATTCGGAAATCGTTCTCAAAATACAAACAGTAAATTAAACAAATTTTGTTTTTTGTTACATAGTGAAAAAATTCTTCTAATAATTTAATTTTATCTGACTCATTTATATTGACAATTCAGACATACATTATGCATTTTAAAGTAGACGACTTTAAAATGATATTGCCAATATTGTTGAGTTGCGCTCCTGGGACGACTTTACTTATAAGATAGTTCATTCGATTACATGAAATCAACTTTAACTTGAGAATATCCGTCAGAAAAAATCATAGCATGTAATTCGTCTTTAAAAAGACAAACACATGACATGATGACAGTAAAATTCTCCTGTTAGTGATTCCATAGTAAATTATGAGGGAAAAACCAGGAAAAAAACCTCATAATACTATCCCGACATTGTAAGTATTTGTTCGTGAATTTAGTTTACCTTCAACAAACATCAAAATTCTGATTTTATATGTTACGTTATTTAAAAAACATAAATGATGTATCCTCTATATGTTACTGACTTACTAATACTGGTATTTTCTTATTAATAACTTCCTCTTTCAATATTGGTAACCAGATCCTACTACATTCTGCCGAGGAATTTGCGACACAATTGGCCTCATTTAGCATAATTAGAGCCGCTTCTTTGATTTTTCTTTTTTTACCATCCGTTTCTTTTAGGACTACATTTGAATTATTCCATTGAACCCTATGTTCATTATCCCATGCGTGTTTACATATTTGAGATCTATCAAATTCTCTATTTTTAATATAAGATTGATGTTCACTTATTCTAACATTTAATGGCCTTGATGATTCACCTAAATAAAACTGATCGCATTCACAAGGTATTTTATAAATGCAATTCTTTGTCCTTTCTTGTTCATTGTTAGGTTTGGTTATGACAAAATGTTCTAGGGATTTTTTAAATGTTTTATTAAAAATGATTATCCTTTATCGTTTATAAATAAGGAATTTTCAACAATCGATCGAATACAACAGAACAACTTAGAACGAGATCCTACAGCATACACAAGGAATAATATGAGGAAAATAACAATACCGTACATAAAAGGATTATCAGAAAAACTTAAAAGGATAGGAAATAAATTCAACATTTCAACAACATTCAAAACAACAAACACGTTGAGATCTATTTTGTCCAAAACCAAACCTAACAATGAACAAGAAAGGACAAAGAATTGCATTTATAAAATACCTTGTGAATGCGATCAGTTTTATTTAGGTGAATCATCAAGGCCATTAAATGTTAGAATAAGTGAACATCAATCTTATATTAAAAATAGAGAATTTGATAGATCTCAAATATGTAAACACGCATGGGATAATGAACATAGGGTTCAATGGAATAATTCAAATATAGTCCTAAAAGAAACGGATGGTAAAAAAAGAAAAATCAAAGAAGCGGCTCTAATTATGCTAAATGAGGCCAATTGTGTCGCAAATTCCTCGGCAGAATGTAGTAGGATCTGGTTACCAATATTGAAAGAGGAAGTTATTAATAAGAAAATACCAGTATTAGTAAGTCAGTAACATATAGAGGATACATCATTTATGTTTTTTAAATAACGTAACATATAAAATCAGAATTTTGATGTTTGTTGAAGGTAAACTAAATTCACGAACAAATACTTACAATGTCGGGATAGTATTATGAGGTTTTTTTCCTGGTTTTTCCCTCATAATTTACTATGGAATCACTAACAGGAGAATTTTACTGTCATCATGTCATGTGTTTGTCTTTTTAAAGACGAATTACATGCTATGATTTTTTCTGACGGATATTCTCAAGTTAAAGTTGATTTCATGTAATCGAATGAACTATCTTATAAGTAAAGTCGTCCCAGGAGCGCAACTCAACAATATTGGCAATATCATTTTAAAGTCGTCTACTTTAAAATGCATAATGTATGTCTGAATTGTCAATATAAATGAGTCAGATAAAATTAAATTATTAGAAGAATTTTTCACTATGTAACAAAAAACAAAATTTGTTTAATTTACTGTTTGTATTTTGAGAACGATTTCCGAATTGGAAATTGAAACGTCAATAAACGTATTTTTATCTTTAATTGTGGCTTATTCCCAGTTTAAATATAATTAATTTACAATGCCACAAGAAAATAGCTTCAGAACAATATTAAGCACATGAATATCTAAATAGAAGGTTTTTTGTACACAAACATAGTGTATAAACAAATAAAACAGACAGTGCAGCCTCAGCCAAGTATTCTCAACAAAAAAGCCATTATTTAGATTTTGAAAATGGATATATTTTGAAAAAAAAAACGAACTGCCAAAAAAGATGTATATTGGGGATAATTTACTTGAAAAAGGTCAGAATTTTATCCATACTGATATAAAAGATCTCTCCATCTCTCTATATATCAAAACTTAATAAATCGAGTTGTTCGTAAATACACCATTGGCAAATGTTTTATATGCGACCCCAAACCAATTGAATTTTCGAATATTTGCCATGCCCAGTAATATATATTATATACTATATAATATATATATATTCTATTTAACATTTTTCTAATTTACAACTTACCTTAAGAGCAGCTGGCCAGTGAACAAGATATAGATCTAGATAATCGAGACCTAAGTTTTGGAGTGTCTCTTGGAAAGTTGGTTCCACTAATTCAGGTTTCATAAAAGTAACCCAAAGTTTGCTGGTAATAAACAGATCTTCCCGTTTTACTACTCCGCTGTCAATTTTATCCTTTAAAGCAGCTCCTACTTCAGCTTCGTTTTCGTAGAAATAGGCACAATCAATGTGCCTGTATCCGGCATCAATGGCATCTTTAACTGCCTGTGTTACTTCACCTGGTTTAGACTAAAAATAGATAATATTAAAGCCAACACAGTTATTATATATTAAAAGTGATTAGCACGTGAAATAAAACAGGCCATATTATTGTAGGAGGTGACCTAATAGCTAGTATAAGAAACATGTTAATTTCTCAAGTGGTCGCAATAAACAGAGAAGTATATGTACAGCGTTTTAAATTTTTATATTTGATATCTATATAATAATATAATTCCTGATGTTTGTAAAATGATCTCGTGATGCGAGAAATTGTTTGTAAAATTTGGTCTTAGGAGCAAATGAATAGAAGGAGAATATCAGGCAGGCACGCGTGGACGTTCAACCATTGACCAGATCTTTACACTACGACAGATCCTCGAAAAAGCGCAAGAGTTTAACATAGATATGTATTATATTTTTGTCGATTTTAAAGCGGCATATGACAGTGTATTAAGACTAAGTCTTTACAACGCTAAGAATGAGTTAGAAATTCCAAAAAAAACTCATATTTTTGCTAAAAGTGACAATGGCGAAGATGCTATCAGCAGTAAAAATTCAAAATGACTCGTCAACCCCATTTGAAATACATAGGGGGTTAAAGCAGGGAGATGCGCTGGCGTGTCAGCTTTTTAATGTCGCCTTAGAAAAAGTTGTACGAGACGCTAATTTAGATAGCAGGGGAACAATATTTAATAGATCAGTCCAAATTCTAGCATATGCAGACGACGTGGACATTATAACAAGAACCAGGGCGAGAACTGTGGAAATCCGCAGTTCTCGCCTGAACTGCGAGCTAGTAGCAGCAGCAGAACGAATGGGGTTACACATAAATCAAAATAAAACCAAATTCATGGCAACTAACACAAACACAAGAGCTGGAAATGTTGACGCAAATTTAATCATCAATGGCCGAAACTTCGAAGCAGTCAAAGAGTTCTTATATCTAGGGACATCGGTTAACCCCAATAATAACACATCTGAGGAAATAAAAAGGCGAATAATAATTGCAAACAGGTGTTATCATGGTTTATCAAAGTACTTAGCTTACAAACGTATTTCTCAAAAAACTCGTATAAGGCTGTATAGAACACTGATAGTCCCCTTTCTCACATATGGATCAGAAGTATGGTTGGGTGGTAAACAATTTTGAGGGTGGTAATAAATTGGTGAAAAATTTATAAAAAAATAAGGTGTGTGTTACATTGGATTCCGCTCATGTGTTCCCGCTAGCTTAAGGGTCCTTAAGTTTACCTTACCTGTGTAGCCACCTGTACCGATAAAAGTTGACAACATACAGAGATATTTTAGTACTGATTTAAATATGATTTATGCTAGGTCAAATAACCCCTTAAAAATGTCCAATAGGCTTGTAGTCTATAAGTATGTTTATACCTCATCTGGGTTAAATTTAATATTGAATTAACGATGTATTGTGAAGTCCATCGTAACACTATCACAAACACAAATAAAAAATCTCAGTTTATTTTTCAGATTGCAGTATATCTAGAGCAATTTAATATTTTAATAATTAGTAATTAAGAAAACTTCAACCAATTTCAAATAAAAAATGCACTGACAGTAATATTTATCACATGCAAAATATCTACAGCTACATAGAAAAAAATTGTTTTAAGTAGCCACACGTGAGTCTATAAATAACTACATGCAAACAAGTAAACAAAACTATACATACCTTCCACGTTCCTAAACCGAAAGCTGGTATTTCTCGTCCATTGTTAAGTTTAACTGAGGGTACCTTACTTGCCATAGCGGGAAACAAATTATATAATTCCGTCACCGAATTTAAGAAATAACTAAATTTTATAATTTATAAAGTCACTTACTTCTAAAACATCTCCCACTTGAGTTTGTTATTCAAGGTTATGTTAAAAATACTTCAACTGACATTATATAATGTTATCTAGAAATTTTAATAGACGTACATAGACCTGTTGATAAGAAGTTTAGTTGCAGCAAATCAGTATCCGTTTTGGAATGTATTAGATACTAAAATTTTTATGTAAGAAATTAAAATAACGCATTGGGTAAACTAAATTCAATAAAAATACTTTTGCCTCTCATTTGAATGTGCAGAGCATTCGATTTAAAAATGTTGGACATTAATGTTGAAAATTTACCGCACATTGGATGAACACTTCCAGTAATATGGTATTCATGTGTTAAGCGTGTATGTCCTAATCTCAGTCTGTTTATTATAATTTGGTCTTTCCTGTTGCTACACATATTCTTCCATCAAAATCACTCAGTAATTTCACATGCAAAATACTACGGCTACATAGAAAAAAATTGTTTCAAGTAGCCACACGTGAGTCTATAAATAACTAACTGTTTTTATGGCAGAGGAATACTGGTTATATTATAATGTAGGAATTTATTCCCAGTGACCTATAATGACATACGCGGCAGAAACAAAACCTGACACAGAGAGGACAAAAAGGATGTTAGAAACAGCAGAGATGAAAACACTTGGAAAAATTAGATTAGAAATAGAGTAGTAAAGATGGCAAAGACGGTTCTCCAATAGGAAGACGATCAGTAGAAAAACCACGAAAACGATGGAACGACAACTTGCTGAAGGTACATTAAAGAACAGACAGAGTCATGTCTATATAAAAACAGAAGAAGTAGAAGAAAAAGACATTCAAGATAACTTTAAAAAATTACCACTGGTCAGCGACTTGTTGCTCTAGAGCAATTGTATGCCGAGCAAAGTTTTTCACGACACCACCATGCTTAGTCTGATTTAGTTTATAATTATATTGGTTTACCTATTGCATTATTAATGTTGTCCTAATAATTCACAGAAAATAACACTAAAACATTTGTTACATCCAATACGTCGATGTCAGACACCATACGTTACACTCAAAGTTAGACCATATAACACCAGCCACGAAAATGTAGCTTGTTACATTGTTTCATTAATAAAATACCCAAAATCTTATTTAATTAACCGTTTCGGCTACCTCATAAGCAACATCATTGAATGGACTCCCTCACGTAAGCTATTCTAGAAGGGATAATACATTGATGGTGAGTAGTGTACCATGATTTCACACTTTGGAGTTTCTTTTTTGTAATACGAATGAGCTCAATATACTTCTGTTATAAAGCAGATACAGAAAGCATATTTGAACGTCCTGTCTTGTCAACATTCGTAAAATTCAAAGATTACTGGTCATCAGAGCAATACTTTTTAATGTTGTAGTATTCTTGCTTCATAACAGTTAAGTTAAGGGGCTTGCTAACAATGTTGTGTAATAGACTGTTATTTCTTTACTAGCTGGAAAACATTAAAAACTAGTTTTTTCCGGTTTTGTACTTAATCGTGAAGAAAACAAAATGTTCTACTTCACCTATCTTTGAGCTCAAAAATTTTAAAGTTTCAAATTTTAAAATTTGAGTATTGATGCAATTTCATAATTTTCTCTTGTTTTAATTCTTTTCCGTCTAGGTATACAGAGTCTTTCTGTGCAATTATAAATTTCTGTATTATACATCCATAGTTTTCTGAATACAAGGCGGGACCAGTGGTCAATTTGGGAATCGGTAACGCTTGCTGCAAGTTAAACGATATAACATACGTCTTCTTATCAATTTGAAACCGGGTTGTTTCGCTCTTCAATAATTGTTGCATTGCCTGAGCCTTACAATTATGCAAGTTTAGTCTTATCGTTAATTTGCCATAATCTTTTTTTCTAATTTTGCTGATTCTATTTGTATATTAATTTTGTCGATATTTTGTCACATACGATAAGTATGCTCCTTAACTGGTTTAATTCCCGCTTCTTAATACCAAGGGACATATCGTTCCGAATATAGACTGGTTGTACTCATGTTATTGATATTCCCTTGTCGTCTGTAGTGACTTTGATACTTTGGAATCAAATGTATATGGCTTTTAACACCTTGTATTTCTGAATCAGATATTTTATTCACACAGTTTGTATGCTCTTTCATGTTGTCTCTTTCTGACACTAAATTTCCTTTTATCTTCCTGCTAACAATATTATTTACTCTGCACTTAAAAGCTTAAAGTCCATAAACATTTTTAAAACTATGTTTTGCAGAAACGTGTAGTTTCATCATTAACATCAATAGAGTAGACTGCATTGTTATTGCTATGCGACTATTGAAGTTTTTGCTTTTTTTCACCTTTTCTTCTTAACAATATCTATACAACCGAATAAATACCTATTTTGTAGGCTGTCAAAATCCCCAAAACAACCCAAAGTACGCACAAAAGAACTATGAGACCTTCGTATCGGCTCTAGAAGTAAGATACGGCGGCTAAGATTTGAAATAAGTATACCAGGGTCAACTAAAAGTACGTTTTCAAGGATCCAATGAATATGTGCAAGAATACCTGGCGGAAGAAGAAAAAATGGCACGACTATCTTGACATGAAGCTCCGGAAGAGTTCTTAGACCAATTTACCATCCAATTACGACTAAGAAGAGGACGCTACCAAATATTGTAGGAAGCTACTGTCGCAGTATTGGAGTGTGAAGCTTGAATGTGTCTTGCTACCAAGATAATGTCCATTAAGTAAGAGGGATTTCGGAAGTAAATAAAGGTGATCTAAATAGGCTACCTACGTTTTGGTCACCCAATTTGAGAACTATCTTGGTTTAATAGCTTTGGTCCATTCTTTAAAACAAAAACGTCAACGGCGCCCAAAGTTTTACTCGTATGAATTAATACGCCACCTTTAACATAATTGCAGACAACATATAGGATCAGCGGATAGAAAATTTACCAGCAGGCAAATCTCTACAACAGAAATGAAATGCGGACAACTAAAATAAACCAACGTCAATGGGCACATTGCTGCCCTGCTCCAAGCCTTTAGATTCTAAATATCCACAATAAGATGAAATAGTGACAGTTTAGTTCTGATGGACTTTTCAATGGCCACAAATGCAGTTTTACCATCGATACTGGGGCAACTAGGTCAGTAATAAGTAAACGGTTCTTGAATTAGCCATTTATAAGGACAATATCGAAACCTCATATAGTGAAGACAGCGACAAAGTAGTGGTGATCATGTCCGAACATGGATTTATTGCAGATGTCAGAAACAGGACCTTAGTCGTTGGCAATGAAGAAATTCTACTGCCTGCCTCTAGAAATCAGCAAAATGGGCTAAAGATGTTAATAGCAGAAGACTCGAAAATCAATCCTAACAGCGAAAATTTCGTGGTCGTATAAATTGAAGCATACGGTGCCTTGATAGCCATGTTATTATAACCAATAGAGCACGGCTATAAAGGCTTCATTGTGGCCAGATGTTTAGTACGTGGTATAGCCAACCCAAATGACAACAAGATCACCTTTAAAAAAGGACCAAGTGCTTATACTGTGCGAGCCACTTGCAAGTGTGACCAGAATAGAAGAAAATGTGCTAGCAGACAACAGTACACATTAACTTTCTACTAAACTGTTGGAAAATCTGAAGAAGTCACGGGGTTATCTATCCTAAGATGAATACCAACAAGCAGAATAGTTCATAAAAACAAAGTGACATCTTCAAAGGAAACATAACTGGCCGTACTGACTTAGTCCAACATCCGATAAACACTGACATTTTTAACCCCACAAGACAAGCACCAATATGTCTCCCATTTGCAAATCAAAAAGAAGCTGTTGCCGTTATTAAAGATATGCGCAATAAGAATGCCATTAAAGAGTTGAATACTCTTCTCCAGTGGTGTTGGTAACTGAGAAAGATGATTACAAAAGGTTATGTGTCGTCTACAGAAGGTTAAATAGCGTTATCAAGAAAGACCGCTATCTGCCGCTCCATATTGACGACACACTTAGTACCCTGGCTAGATCGAAATGGTTTTCCTTCCTGGATTTCAAAAGCAGCTCTTGGCAAGTTGCAGTCCACCCTGATGGTAGAGAAAAGACAGCGTTGTTGGGGTGTAGGTTGAATCTTATTGGAATTTCACGTAATAATACAAAAAAACAAATCACTTAAACTAAAACTGTATTGAAGTAAAAAATAGCACATTTAAAATATTTGTAAACGATCAATGTAAAAATAGCGTCCTTGGCGTAATGTTGTTGTTGCGACTCGAGATGAGCGTGGACTGTAACTGACTGTGTTTCCCTTCTCCTCTGGTCACCACCGGCATCCCCTCTCGAGGGGTGTAAAATGACTTGAGGTGTAATATACGGGGTTGCTCGAAAGTTTTAATATTTAAGTCTAAAGTTTTAACAAGCGTTTTCTGTTTGATATGGTCTCTACCAATTCAAAGTGATGTACCTAATTCGGATTGTGTAATTTGATTGCTGTGTATATTTTGATTACTCTAGCATATTTACAGGGAGTTTATTTACATTGTTTATTTATATAAGCAAGATTTGGTTTATATGATAATTTGTCATCGACTGATATTATCACATTTAAAAGTTACGTTTTATGTAAAAAAACTTTCCACCTTACTATCTAAATACTACTAAAATTTTTATTTAAACTGCCTGTTCATTTCTAGGAAAATTAAGTGTTAGTATCTCAAACCTTTGACTGTACTTGAACTCTGTATTGTGTAATGTACTGATAACAGTTAATAAATATTAGCGGTTTATCTAAAAAAAAATTATTATCAAAAATCACATTTTTTGTTTATCTAATGCATTTCTGTCAATAATGAAAAAATGTGAAATGTGTCATCAAATAAATAATATCTTTTTTTCCTATACTTCGAGTAGAATTAATCCTTATACAAAGTCGGAATGCTTATTACGATATAATATAGCGCAGTCAAAATAAAAAAAATTAATATTAGGTTTCAAAGTGGGACCTTTTTTAGGTTCTCTCGATAAATGAAATATCTACTTATAAAATAATGACTGTTGAATTTGACCTGGACAGAACAAACGCCATAAAAAATAGTTTTAGTAGACAGAGACTCAGTTTTATCTAAAAAAACCAGCAGAACTATTGGGATCGCGCCTTAAC